GCAAATGTTTGGTCTGATGAAGAGTTGCTGAAAACAATTGTTTGCCATAAACGTAAGTTCGCCAAGTACTAGTATAAGAACATGAACAAGGTTCCTAAGAGCTGTATGCGGACAAAGTATGCCAAGAAAGCTTGATTGCTCTGTTTCGATAATAATATAACCACTGAGCTATCTCTAGCAGTTTGGATAGCACTCAATGTTTAGACTGTCAACCTTTCGACGCAAGTGATGCCAATCAACCAAAATATGGTTTTATTCAGGTTCTTTAGAGGCTACAACAAGTTCCCTATGGTCTCACTAACCCACTTCTTCCTGCTACCGACTGCATACGAGATAATAGGAGCGAACATACAGGGCAATTCGCTAAATTTGGTTGCAACATATTTTTGAGCTGTCTAGAGCGCCATACAAGACTACATCTGACGATTTCACTCCATAAATGGGACTGTCTTCGAGAGAAAAGTTGTAGTAGCCAGCCAACATGACTGTCCGACTTCCTTGCACAATGTCCACTGCCTTGAGGCCATGCAAAGTCGCGGGAGCACTTTCTGCCTCGCTGACTTGCAGACCTTTGACTGACTTCCATCCGCGCATGCTCGCGCGTCCAGATAGTCGTGGCTGCCTAAGGGCCACTCAATTACGTCATGCCTCCACTGACAATACACGACACAAGCTTGGGTAATACAACCCCAGAATTAAACACTACTTGAACTTGCTCCATAATCATGTAAAATTAGATGCCATCAGGTGAGTGGATAGAAAACTAGGCGTTTCGGCGTTTATTTTAGAAAACACACTTTTTTATTTATTTGACTGAGCTCTAAATTACAAACATGCATACACTTTCCATGGTTTATACCGTTTTGTGGTCATGATATTTCAGTTTCCTAATCCTGCAGGAAATAAAAGCACAGCAGACATTTCGAGAGTCACCAAAAAATAGACCAACCAACAATGCATTAATTGAACAACAACTTAAGTAGCCGGATACCGAATTAACTTAATGCACGTAAAGAAAGTTTAAGGACTGCGTTACTATTCACAGAACTTAAAATTCTACGTAGAAAAGTTTGCTGGACATGAAAGAAGACTCAAAAACCGAAACCAAAATATAATTTTTATCCGGTATCTTACAGAGCGTAAAATTCATTGAGTAATTCAAACTTTATGCCACGTTGAACAGCGTACGTTCGATATTTCTGTTGACTTTTCTGAGTAATTCTTCTATTATTTTAGCCAAATGACTCTTAAAAAATATCGTCAGTGGACCCTGAGCAAGTGTCGTGATGGTACTTCCAAAGACTGCGATCGGTCCGTATTCATTTCGCTCGTCCAGAGCCTTGACTGTTATACCATCGGTTTCGATGTCGTGAACGCCGGACAACTTGATTATGCTTTCGGTCGTGTTATCCAAGTAGGTGGGGAACCGCACGGTGAGATTGAGTGTGACGCTGAGATTGTGCAGTGTGAGTGTCGCCATCTCGAACGGGTTCTCCCAGATCAGATCCCACACTTTAACTAGCCCCACAGCAGTTATATCCTCGCTTGGTGTCACACAGAAATGTATGCTAATTTCCTCTGCATTAGACGCTGTTGCGGAACGCATGTCTGTCGGGCAGTTCCGCTGAAGAGATTTCAGACCAAATACTTTGGCATCTTTTACAGTCAGAAAGCCATCCGGAGACTTGTTCACAATGAACGGCTCGGGCAGCAGACTCGTCAAAACATCCATAAGGTATTCCAACAAGAAGTTTAGACAGTCCGTGCAGGCAGTGACAGATGAATTCGTATGAGCTGCGTACGTGATAGACGTATTCTTGACAGACGCCTCCGTGGCAGAGTCCTTCGTGTCAGACGCCACTGCGGCAGACGGTTCGGCTAGGGCCACATGACTGACTAACAGCAGGACAATAACCGAGTTTAACATCCTCACCAACCCTAAAGAAGGGAGAACGAATAAGGATAAGCAGTCAAAACGTTTAAAGAGGGTTCTCTTTGGTATTCTGGGTATCCTTTCATGTAGTAAGAATATGAGCCATTTACTAAGTCCCACTTTTCACCCGCACGTTAGAGCATAGGTGAGGGTCTAATATGTAAGCAACCCCAAACCAAGGTTTCCTGTAATAGGCGGAGCAAAATAGTATGGAATAAAGCACTCTGGGGAGGAAAGATTTAAAACAGTGGTTTAACCCATAAAGTTTTTAATACTCCAAGATGACTTGAAGAGGATTGTATGCAAATCAAACAAAAATGTTTAGGTAGATTGTAAACAGGCTGAAAAAAACGGAAATCGCAGGTAACCACTACGCCTCGTAGGTAACAGACGACCGAAAGTAACAACCAGTTGCCCGAATCCCACATCTAAGCCTAAGCCCTAAGCGCAAAATCTACTTCCTAACCTTACCCTTTAGCCAAAACTCTAACCAGAACACTTTATTCCGTAAACGTACGTTCTAATCCTCAAGTTTAATCCTGAACGCTATCATGTTACCCTAGCTCTAACCCTTAAACCCATTTCTAACCCGTACAGAGGCCATTAAAAGAACTCCTAACCATTAAACCTAACCCGCACTTTAAAGACCAAACAGATACAAATCTTAGCATAAAATGTCCACCTAAATCAAATAGGTAGCAGTTGTACACCAACAAAATGAATGGACATACATATGAGATCCTCACCAGAGCGTCTACGCATCACTTCGTCAAATGCTTAAAAATAAATTGCTACCTATTCTATTAATACGATAGATTTACTAGAAGCGCCATTCGCTTACCCCTTCTTCGAATACCAGAAGTTAAACTGCACACAGGCTTCTACGGCAACCCAAACTGCAACCTCATTGGCTCGGTCGGACGGTTTTTGAGGGAAGTGCAATTCCAAAGCCAACAGCAAACTGTTGCTTTCTGCTGCTGTGCACTTACCTTCGCGGCGCTGATATTTAACAGAAGCATAGGAAAAGGTCAAATGCCTGACGGAGTTCACAACTGCGAGCCCATGGTGCATTTCACCGGTGTACCAGAAGTGAACGTAATTTTTTTGGAAAATCGGTCTCGGTGGACATTACGATTTTGTCGGAGGTTAGCCTAATTACAGAGAATCGTAAGTCCGCACAGCACTGACAGTGTTTGAATTTTGAAAACATATATTGGTTTGCACTTTATCTATACAATATTTCTGACTTTTTAAGGACGCCTAAAGTCAATTAGGAACCGTCATACTACTTGTGTAGGCACTTTTCCAGAGTGTAGTTTTTGCATGCAGTGGTAGGTTGTTCTGTCTAAAGTTTGCATGCTAACGTAACTTAAATATGTTGGGATTATGCTGCCAGACAATTAATCCTTGAGTTTTCTTTACAAAATTAAGCCACATTTCCAAATTTAAGTTGGTATTCAATGATCTTGCACGTCCGTTTTACATACTTTCATAATTAATAAAAGACGGACACTACGTACAGCTCATAGTTTTTAATAACTACGGTCGTTAATAGTAAGGCAGACCAGGTATGCAATCCCTCTTTACCGCACTCTGTCTGAACCAATTAATATCCTGGTTGGCAAAGCAAAACCGAGATATATACAGTATGGAGTATATTTCGTGTAACCTCGCGAAATAAGCAAAATATTGACACTCCTTCCCTAATAGGTATTGAGTAAGGTTGTAATACTAATTATTGTGTAGTCGTTTCTGAAGCCATTTCAGTCACGATAGGATGCCAGCTTTTTACCGAGCTTCCATCTGACAGTTAACAAAATATGTGTAATGTAAAAATTGGCTACTTAATTAGAATGCATTATCATTGATTTTGACTGCCTTTATAAATTCAAATATATTTTATGGAAAGCGTATCATTGATTTTGACTGTCTTTATAAATTCAAATATATTTTATGGAAAACAAAAACAACAAAATTGTTTCTTGTAAACATTTGGTAGGAAATTACAACTTCTTAAAATGCTATACTTAAAGAATGGGTATCTTTCGGTTTTAAAGTTTTTTTCTACATTGCCGAATAATTTTTAAACCTGCGGACTACTACACGTGAATTAAAGGTTTATAAACTGCATGCTGTGTACATCCTGTTTAAGGAAAAGTACATTTCACCTACGGCTTGAGGAGAAAGTCACATAGTTTTCATATAATATTGCAAGAGATTCACTATGGGCAGCATTAATAAATTGACGGATATGATGTATAATGAATAACCACCTCATGATCGTAAAAAAGCTCATAATTAGAACCTTTTTTAACAGGAAGCTAACCTTTCTTTAAGTATAAAATTTAAAAAAGGCTTAATTTCCTACTAAACGTGTACAAGAAATAATTTTTTCGATTATGTTTTCCATAAATTATATTTGAATTTATAAAGACGGTCTTAAAACCTCTAGGTGCTTGGAACCTGATAGGGGCAAAAGTTTGGAAGAATATTGAGAATGTGGTAAAGTTTCTTATTCCAACTCATTCAGTTCCAGCAGTATCGTCCAGCCAACATGTCCGATCGAAAAATTACTTGGTCGAATTTCGCAGATTGAGCATCGTCCAGACTTAACACCGAAATCCTTGCTGTTTACTGATTATCTGCCTGACAAGTTTGCATCGGATGGCCATACATAATTAGAATAATGACATGGAAAGCCTCAAAAATTGTTTTTCAATGTTAATTGTTATTTCAGCCTGTACTTTTTTCGGTAGAATCTTACATTGGGTCCCAGCACGCCAAAGCCCCATCCTTTTGTAACAAATGATCGGATCTAATGAAGGTTACACAGTCTGGGTGCTACAAAGGAAAGGAAATATAGATAAAAAAATAAAGTTTATAAAAGTAGAAAAAAAGCAAAAATTGTGTAAATAAGCTAATGTTTTTCAACAAAATAAATAAATAAAATACAAGAAATATATAAAATTTGCAATTATGCAATTACGCAAATATTGGAAAATAAGTAAATTAGAAAAAGTACTAGCTAAAACCGGGATCAGCTAACTAAAAAACGTAAGCGAAAGTAAGCTAAATTTACTTAACCAAAATAATCTAAGCCTAAAATAAAAATAGTTAACATAATAATGGACTGAAAAATAAACTGAAAACTGAACATAAATATGAATAAGGTAAACAAGTCAGATAAAAAACTAGCGTAAAGTTGTTGCGCATGCAAATTGAAAGTGTGCGCGGCGCTTCGCCCCGCGAAGTATACTAATTGAACTCCAGAGCAGTAAGTGGCATCTCAGATAAGTTGAAGTAGATGACCTCCTACCCACCAAATGATTTCTTAGGAATATCAAGAAACCCAATGAACTATAAAATATAAGTGAGTAAAAAATTTCCAGATTTGTCACACCCAGTAACCTATAAGTAAGTAATAAATGTAAGCAAAGTTCTGTTTATTTATTGCGTGCTATTTTGTTACGAAAACATCAGATTATTTAAACAACTTCTGGGACCCGAAGAAGGATTCCACCCTGTCTGTCTCTGCAAGGCTCTCATTGTCATTACAAAAGTCCACAACCACTTTCCCTTGTGGAACCCTCTGACTCTGCTTTGGTGAGATAATTGGCTACTTGGAAAGCACTGTGACCGAGTTTGAAATCACGCAAGAAAAGGAAACCCCCTTTCTGTTCCTTTCAGTTCAGTTGGTGAGGGGAATATGCAATGCCTTTGAAAATCCCTGTTGCTTAGATGCCGGTACGCGCACTCCTAGAAATTAAGACTATACAAATAGTATTTATCAAATGTAAGTAACATTATTGTTACAAATGACTGCCGGCAGTTGACGTGATACTAGTTTGGTTTCAGACTGTCAAAGGAAAACAGTGGGCATATATAATTATCCGAGCGTTTCTAGAAAAGCCTTAGGGATGTCACCTAATAGAGGAACATGCTTTTGAAGGTAAATGTCCAAAATGTTTAACAAGAAATGGCTTCATTCACTGCGAACAAGGGATAAGGTAAGGTAAAAGGTCATAGTATTCTCAAAATCTAGAGGTTGTCATGATATCCACATATGTTATGGAGACAAGTCTGGTTTCAACTTCTAAATTTCCGTTTCTGCACTCGTGAGGTAATGTGCCAGGAATGGAAGTATAGACTGCTGATATGCTAATGTACGGCAAGACATATGGGAAAGCTTCGGCGCATGGTACGGAAAGACTTCGCAGCCATTAGTTCAGCGTGGAGAGGATTAGCGGCCTCACCAAGAATGTGGTCAAAAATTTGCTCGATCGTTTTAAAATGTCGCCGTATAATAATATCAGCTAAAAACCATAAGAAACACCAGCAGCTTAAGCGAGCATTCGGAGGATACGTTTAAAAAAGAAACAGGTCTATTTTGCGGGCCCCGATTGCGGGAAATTATTCCATTGTCTATTATCCATTGCGTGAAGAATTCATTGCAGATGTTTGGCCTGCACCATTTTTATGCGTAGCTTAATTGCTTATTCACAGAAATGAAACACAGGGTGCCACTGAAACGTGTCTTCAAAGCGCAACTCTTGCACATGGCCGTGTATTATATTACAACCTAACATAATATCATATTTTGCTGCTTGCAATACAGAGGGAAAAGATTTAAGTATTCCAGTCTTTCTTTATAAGTGTGATATTTTAGATCCCTGACTAGCTTTCTTGCACTTTCTGGAAACATGTTTTTGGGCTTTGTGAGCCATGGCCACGATGCTTGCATGCCATATTCTAAGTGAGGTCCAACAAAGATGTCGTAGACTTTACCCCAGAGATCTTCGTCAAAGGCTACAAACACCTCTTTGATAGCGTGTAGTACTCTTATGACATTGCTTGAAGCCGTGATGCCTTGCAATGATGGCTGCAGATTGCTCTGTATCCAAACAGTCAGATCATTCTCTAATGATTCTATGGGCTCGTAGGTTTCAAACATTATCAGTGAAAGGAATTATATTAAAATTATTAAACAGTACACA